GCAGATTCTAGGCTAGCGAATGGTATAAGATACTTGTATGTTTGGTTGATATCTAGCGAAGATATTGAACAAACAAGAAAGTCATGAAAAAAGCACAAAATTTGAAACGTCATTTTTGGGTGCTAAACTTGCCACCCTGATATCTCCGCTATTAGTAGCACATACGATGCTGATATTTTGGCTTTTGTATATGCACAATATGACCTCTCAAATGTGCTATCAAACGTGGAAATCCCAGAACCATCTCCGGACGGTTTGGTCCCTCCTGTCAAATAGCCTCTCTTAAAAAGATTGCGATTTGCACTATAATTGAGTAATTTCATCTAATTTGTGAACGAAAGGTATGAGAAAAAGATCAGAGTGGAATTTATTATAGGACTTAGTTGCAAAAATAGCACACTCGGTGGCAGCACTTGAAAAAGAACTTGGCTAGAAAAAGTTTGTTGAGTGGAAGGATTGAGCCCTATTTGGCCACTCCTGGTTATGTCACTAGTTGAGAGTGAGTTTTGTTTCTATCCATACCTTCACTCAAGATTTCTTATAGGTAAAGGCAAATGATCTAATATTTGGGATTTGTTTATGGTTGCATCAAACCTTTTATTTTACGAAATAAAATAGATAAAAGAAAAATTTCCCCTGGTATTATAGGGCTCCTTTGTGGCAGACCATCCCTTAAAGCACAATAAGTGACAAAGTGAAAAAGAAATGGGAGAATGATATAAAACAGTTAATTGTGCTCTTTTTGGTATAATGCATAGAAGACATTTTGTGGATTAAGGCATTTAGTTGTATCAACTTCAAGTGTACCATGGAGTCCAAAACCTGCACGTTTCAGATGATCCTTCCACTCATCCCGTGTGTGATATCGAATTGATTTTGTATGATCAAGAATATCTGCCTTTTTCTGGTGCCATGCATGCGTTTCACTGATTTTGTTCACATCTAATTCACAGTGCCGTTGATCATGGTGGTTTCCTGAGCAATCGAAAAATGCCCCATTAAATGGATACATTCGAATCGCATGGATAAAGTTGAGATATTTAACGAGAAGTGATCGTTCCATTCTACAATCATGTTCCCGTAAAATTAGGTAGCCACCAGGACGAATGATACGTGCTAACTCTACAAGTATGGAATCGATATGTGTGATATGGTGCAGTGTGACCAAGCAGGTAACCAGATCAACACGATCATCAGCTAAAAACAATTATATTAAAATCTAGCGTAAAGGGAAAAAGAAACTCACGAAGATTAATAATTCCTTCAGATTCATGCATGGGTATGAATGTGACATGATCGTTTTCTACAGGATATACGTCACCGCCAAAAATGTTTTCTTTTTTCAAACCTAAATACGCTCCAAGTGCAGCTGTAATTACACCAGTATTGCAGCCGAGATCGAAGTAAGCTTTTATTTGGTTTTTATCTATCTTGTTTAGATCAAATGGTAATGTTTTAAAATCATAAATGGTCGATTTACACGCGTCCTTAGGATTGAAAAACAGTTTCAGTTCATTCAATCGTTTATCAACTCGAGATGAGTTATACCCTTGAAGACATGACTTTTGGACCGCTAGAAAGAATAACTATCATAAAATATGTTTCCTTTTCTAATTCATCAGTTACTTCGCTCCTTCTCTATTCGTTGAAATAACGTATGGAGTAAGTCAAGTTCATCCAATTTATCATTTTCTTTCTCCAATTGAGCAAATAGACTTTGGATGTGATCTTTTTTGCCGTATATTCGACCCAAATAGATAAATAAAGCGTCACGATACACTTTATCAGACCACAATGACGAGCCATCAGTTCGCGAGATCATCCATTGCTTGAAGGTATCATCCCGTTTATGGGAAATTGTAGATGAAGAGATCAAGGCCATCGTATCCAAATGAAGAAAGACGTGTTTTCCCCTTAAACAGATAAATAATGAATTGAAAATAGTTTTTCTCTCAAAGAGCATTCTCAAAATTTTTAATATAAATCATAATGATATGTTAACTCAAGGCGATGTTTCCAGAATCCGGATCCGTCCAGCATCCTACCGATCCTAGGTCTTTTCCCTCATCTTCATGCAGGTTCTATGTGGGCTTGCAACGCATCCCGCAGGAAAAATAGACGGAAAGTGGAAGCAGTATTCCTGCAGAAATTTCTCGGAAATGGAACCTTTGAACTCCCGTAATTACTGACACAGAGAAAATAAACCGGATCCTCCAGGAAGGCAAAGGAAATATCATAAGATCCGTCAGAAAACTACCGGAAAGCCCAACATACATGAACGGAAAGTATCCATTTTCCAGAAATCAAATCCATCTTCATCTCAGAACCATTCGAACAATTTTTCGAAATCAAATGAAATCATCCTATGATGATTCTTTTCATATTCTAATTATCATTAGAAAAATCCTAAGAAATCCTGTCATGTATTTGTCGGTGATGGATGCAAATGCGATTTAAATCGCCTTTTGATCACCCCATGATTTTGGATGATTTCGAGAAAAATGCAGGAAATGGGACGAAAAGCAGCTGTTTATATGTCACTGACCTCTGCAAAATAAAACAGTGAGTATCCTGTCGGTCGGAAAAGACCAACGGATCTTTTATCAGAACCTGGTCGGATCCGGCGACCGTATCCGAAAATGTGATCCGTGTCGGGGAATCAAGTGGAACAGTATCGGCAGTGGATGGCCGGAAACGAAGTCAGATTCTCGGTGCAGGAAATCATAGGAGAATAATTGATCCTGTCGGTTCCTGTCGTACAGCTTTGACATGGGTAAAGTAAAATGTTGAATAAGAGTATGAACAAGTTTATAAGTGGTGCAGTTGAGGGGTGTCAGCGTTTCCCGTTCCCAAGCGTTCCATTCCCGAGAACGGAACGCATTTTAAACTGTATTGTATGACATTTTTTCGAACATAGTTAAGTTGTTGACATACAGTTACTCACGTACGAAGCGAAAGGGTCAGTCGTTCCCAGATCAGAGAACGCGATTTGCATTCCCCGTTCTCAGTTTCTCATCCTTGGAATACGGGAACGCAACAGTAGAACCCCCAGAATATGATTTATTATCTAATTTTTGATCGATTCTTCCGTTCTCCGTTGAAGAATGGGGAACGCCACCGAATCCTAGACTGTTTTCAAAAGTAGAAGTCGTATTTCATTCTTCTGGTAGCTAATAAACAACCCTAGGTCATTGTGTGGCTCGGTCACTTCCGATCCGTTAAGTTCATTTTCCGACGATTTTCTTGTCGCCGGAGTCCGATGCGAGGAATCTGCCGCATTCGCTTGAAATCGACAAAATATGTACTAGTACCGACTCAAATTTAAACGTATCCAGTCGTTGAATCGATCGACCTGGGTAATCAGAAAGGGTATATTTTTCAGCGTTCCCCGTTCTTCGAAATAGAACACAAAAGTGACACCCCTAGTGCAAATGACTATGTAAAAGAAGACGAAGCGATAGTGACGCGTCTGAAACTTCACAAACAAGTAAGAGCGATTCATTAATTTGAGATACAGTTTATAGATGCGTACGGCTGTCATTGACGGATATCGCTAGTTCAAGCCATTACAGGCAGTATAAGTTAAAAAAAGGATTTGATCTACTAGGGTTAAAAAGAAAAAAAACATTACACATAGCAATTACACAATGCAATAAATTAATAAACAACTTACTTCTGTTACAGTTCCTAACTGATTGACTTCATGTAGAAAATATACATATATATAGGGAGAGAAGACATATAAAGAGAAAAAATAATACCCGAGAGAGATATCGAGAGACGAAATCGCAAAGCAAATAAATGCAAAGAGAAGAAGGTGCAGAGAAAGGAATACAAATAAAAAAATCGAATTTATTGCATCAATAAAGCTAATAACTATATGCCGATAAACGAGATAAGTATCATTTCGCTTCATTTTTCATTAATATTATTACGCTGAATTATTACAAACCCTGATACTGTTAGCGTCATTGGATATTATTTCATGACGCTACCTTTCACATAGTTGTTTTCTTTCATTTCTCCATATGTATATATATACATATATATATATACATCTTTTCTCGTTCTTTCCTGTCGTTCTTTAGTTTCGTTGTCTATCATGCCCGTTCTCATGATGATCTCTGTTGTTGTATTTCTCCTTTGTTTTCTTCTCTTTTTCTATTTTTTCTCAGATCAGATTCGATCTGTATATATTTCATTGTTTCTTCTTCCCCGTCCAGTCTTTTTTGTGATCTTCTTCTTCTGTGTTTTATTCGATTTCATCCAATAAAACACCATTTTCATCCTCTTCATCCCACTCATATTCATTCTCATTCATTCCATCCATCACAGGTAGGATTTTGTACGTTAGTCTTGCTTTCGCATTAGACCATACGTATAGTTAGATATATCACCCTGTGATATATTCGCTGATTTTGAGATTTCATTCATCCCCAGCCACAAGAGACTCACATTTTGGTGGAGAAGTTGGGCAATCAGCGTGTTTTCCTTTCCTGCACCTCCCTAAAGGGGTAAGGTGTTAGCGTTTGTGTGATTCACACAACGCTAAACTGGAGATTAAGATGGTCCTTCTAGTCTAACTGGCTTAGGACATCTGCCCGGATAGCAGAAGGTGTGGGTTCGAGTCCCACGAAGGTCACTTTTTCTCCATTCTCTCTTTCTTTCGTTCTCTTTCGCTGATGTCCTGTCCTGGCTCTAATATAGAAGCTAACAGATACCATAATGTGAGAGAAGATGTAACTTTTCTTTTATACATTTTATATTCCTTTTTATTCTACGCAATTAAGGTGTTCTTTCGTGCACGAACTTCCAAATGAGAGCCCACCCAAGGGCATCTAATACCACCGCAATTTTTTCGATTTTTTTTCTAAAATAAAAGCTAAGAGATCTAACAAACAACATAGCCCATTTTCATCTTTGAGAAACCAACCCTGCTTCATATTTTGACATTTTCTCACGACTGGTTCCGTTGTTTCAGCTTACGAAGGTTTTGTTCGAGAGATAATAAAGGAGACCATACAAGTCATTTCCTCTACTGAGAGGAGGGTTATGTGTCGAGCAGATATTACAGAAAAAAACGAGTTGATGTTTTTCCTTCCGTCTGTTTTACTTGAAAATTATCTAAATACTAGTTGAAAGCAGTAAGGGTTGACCGACGGGTAATCAGGGTTACTTTTTTTCTTATTCGCCGAGCTTTGACTTGCACCTTTCTTTTTCCAAGAAAGATGTTTTTCTGTATCTTTGCTAAAATCTTTTGTAGAAGGTGGTGGACTGAACGCTGTTCCAGGATCTGATCTGGTGTGTGCAAAGATCATAGTTTAGGAATGTGCACAAAAAGATTTTGTCTATCTTACGTTATGATATTTGTAATTTAAGTAATCGATAGAAGTGGTATGAGTTTAATATCATTTTTGTGTTGTTAGCTGCGACACATCAGGCCTTTCGATAGGATTTTAACGGAAATATATCTCAAAAAAATACACTGAAAAAAAATAAGGTATTCGACGAAACCCATCAAAAGGGTTTCGCAAGTCCTCAAAAGTCTCTAAATGTGTCGAAACTTAAAAGGGTTCGGTGCTGAGGGTTCAGAGCGTGTGCCCGCCGACCGATCTTCTTTTGGTTTCGCAGATTTTTGAAAGTCATTTTTTTGAACATGTCGACACATTTGGAAGCTTTGAACACCTACGAAACCTTTTTGATGGGTTTTGTAGAATACCTTATTTTTGTGAAACACGATCCGAAGGAGAGTGTTGAAGTGTTTAAGGCTAAAAATTTTGACCACCCCCCCCCCCACCCCTCCCACAG